AGCTATAAATCATTAACATATGGAAGCACGGAGCGGTGCCCAGAGTGTGAAACTTCCTAGAAACAAAGTCAGCAGAGATCGATCAGAGACTCCCTGGTGCACAGAGAAAGAGGCAGGTGATGAACAGAGGGACACTGATGAGGGAGCACAAAGGCAACAGAGATGCCTTAAGCAGGAAGAGGAGAAGGAGATGGAACAAATGGAAAAGCTCAGCCGGACACGTTGGCAGGTGTGATGTCCACCAGGTATCGACTGGAATGAAAACTAATGACAAAGGTGGCTGTAGAAATGCATTTCTCTGGGTCTGGAGTGGAGGTATCTGTGTCAGTATCTGTTAACTAACAGAAGAAAATCCCTCACTGAACCACTACAGCAACACAACCTCAACTTTCTGAAATCATGGTGGGAACGGATCTCTAAACATTACACAGAAATACAAACAGGAACACTGCAGTCATGTACAGACGGGTGACAAGTGTGGACAGTTATCACTGCATTATATCACACACAACGTTAGCTAACGAACTGGAGAACTGGTGACCAGTCACTAACTAAACTGGAGACTTTAAAGAGTCAACGTGGCCTAAAGCTCAAAAAATGAGGTGTTTGTATGTTCTAGTATTTCTGTGCAGAAGCAACTGGGTATATACACGTCTCACAAACTCACCAGACTTTTCTTCTAGCAAAGTTAAGTATGACATGATAGTCTGCAGTTTACAGCCACTGTGATTAAAGATACAATGAGTGTCACTGAGAGAACTTTCCAAAGCAGTAACACATAAACTACTGTGTGGTGTTGTAACATCTCATTAACCTTCAGAGCCACTGATCTATAACTCAGACTGGACATCTGTGACTGTATTCCTTTGACTTGTGGTCACCTGCTGCAACATTCCCCAACCACTGCTTCCCCTTCTACTTTCTGAATCAGGAGGCTATTTTCAGTCTGAACACCTGCCACGCCACCAGTGGCCCTCCAGTATCTCGCTGTACTAACCAGTGGATGTTTAATGTCCATCTAAAGCCAATTTAAACTTCTCCGCAACTACACACAGGCGTCACTGCTAAGCAGTGAAGGGGTTTATGGGTAAAGGTAGGCTACTAATGGTTGCAGACAATCTGATGTGCACACCTCCCAAATCACAACTATGCATTGTGCTGAGCTGCATGTCCTGCACACCCATTGGTTGATTCAACCCTGCTCTGGCCAAAACGTAGCTGCCTGCTAAGTGGACTACTATACTAGCGAGTGCTCACATCTCTGAAAGCATCACAGCAAACTGGCATTACCTGACTCTATGGTTACTTTGTCACCTGGAAAATATCACCAGTTAATAAAGAGGCACCAGTCCTAGGAGACAATTTTAAAATTATATAATTATAACTTTGAGTCTGGTTCAAAGTCTCTACCATTTCCTGACTTCTTCTTCTTCTTCTTTTCTGTACTTTGCTGTTTGAGCGCCCCCTAGTTAGAACGTTAATGTTTGCACAAGTGTAAGTGCAAATGTCTCCAAATAACAGGTGCACATTCCCACATGACCGATCTAACTCTGGCTTAAGGGTGTAAACACCTGCTACTGACTGCTGACTACTGACACTACGCTACTTAACTTCCACGTGCATAGGTGGATAACCAAGTCTGTAATCTGGTCGCTACTGACTGCACCGACTGTCAAAGTTCTCCCTAAGTTCATGTATTAACTTCCACGTGCACAGGTGGATAACCAAGTCTGTAATCTGGTTTTTACAACTGTGCATGTGCATGAAGGGGGACTGGATGAAAGAGTGGTTTATTTGCATTTTAAATAAGTCAGCCTGTAGTCTGAGTAAAACTGAGACCAACACAAAGGGGCCTGGAGAAGCCAACAAAAGTCGGGGTCCTCTGCTGAACAGGAGTCTGTGTTAAATCGAGACCGTTCACGGCATGAAGATCAGTTTCACTCTGAAGTCTGGGGGCTGGAGGAGAATCGCTGATCTTCTGCATGTATACGTGTACAAACAGTAGCCAGGGTACTACAGTGCACACAAAGATTGTCTGTGGAAGAAATGAACACGGCGATTACCCAGGTCACCTGACAGAAGCTGCACCTCCTCCTGGGAAACATACAAATTCAAAGCAGCCTTGTCAGCCCCTCCTTTTCCATTCTCTCTTTTTCTGCCACCTCTCTTTCTCCAGACAAATTAACATTAAGAACACATACATGAATCCTAATCCTCCCTCCTCCACCCTCTCAGCTCACATTATCATTGGGGATCACTCCTTCACATTCATACATGTCGGTCTGAAACCTCTCCGTCCCTTCTCTCTCTTTTTCTTTGGACAAATTAACATTGCTAAGCACTCATGAACATTCAAACACGTCCCTACATCCCCTGCCTCCGTCTTTCTTTTCATCTCTCTCTTTCTAGGCAAAGTAACATAGGAGAACAAACCCCTTTGTCCTCATCCCCTCCTTCTCGCTGTTGCTCTTTAGCTCTCTAGTCAAATTAACTTTGGGAATCTCCTCTTCTTCTCTTCCCATCTTTAGTGCAGATTAGAACTGGGAAACACCCATCCATGTTTCAGATCTTCTCCTCGTCTGTCTCTGCACAAACTAACAGTGATGACCACAGAGGCGTCCTCTCATCCTCCGCCCCTCTCTCTATTTCGGTTCAGTGCACGGAGAGGATCGGTTAGAGGTTTGCAGAAAGTCAAAGAAAAAAACAAAAGAACAAAAACCTCAAATGTGGAACTCCAATTAATTTAAAGCTCCCCCTCACACCCATCACCAGCACCAATCAGCCAAGAATAAATCCGCTGCAGATCTAATTACCGCGCCGTCTCCGAAGACCCTGGCCGCCGCAAAGCCAATCTTCCCCTCCTTGTTTGAACAGGCTGATGAACTAAGGGACTCGATGGATATCAAGTCATTTTGTTTAATTTATAAATGGATTTTCCCCTAATACTTAAATTATCATCAGCATGAGAGACAGAGAGAGAGAGAAGCACAATGAAAAGCATTTGGAAGGCAAAAAGTCTTTAACGTGTGGCTCAGGAGAGGACGGAGGTGGAGACGGATGGATGGATGGATGGAGGCAGTGCGACGAATCCTGATGAGGAATGTGTCCTTTCCCAGTTTACAGCTGTGACGACTTTTCAATGTGTCACACTAATTATGTGCAAACTTAAAGCAGAAAATGCTCAGATACTGGGAAAACTGGGAGGTGAGAGGATACCAGGGTGCATGTGACAAACACTGGCTGTGACCAGAAACATCTTTAAGTAATCTGTGGATTCATTTAAAGGAATAGTCAGCACATTCTTATTGCCACTGCTTGGATGAAAAGAGTAACACAACTCTCATATCTGTGCATTAAATCTGAAGCTACAGCCAGCAGCCAGTTAGCTTAGCTAAGTAAAAAAGGCCACATTACATCTCATGTGTTTCATCTGAACAAAAACAGACGTGTACTACTTTCAGTCTTGATGCTAAGCTAAGCTAATCAGCAGCTGAGAGATGAGAGTGGCGCTAATGGTTCTCCTCTAAGCAAAAGCGGTGAATTATAATTTAAAGTTTCTCTTAACCCCTTTTTGTGCACAATCCGAATCCTTTTGAATCTGATTAGTAATAATCATAATACACTTATTCATAGAGCGCTTTTCAAGACACTTTAGTTTGTTAGTATAAAAATAAGTTCATGCACTACAGCAGCAAAACAACTTGAAACTATTTTTTCTAACCACAACTGGTCACTGTAATCATGATAATCACTTCATTTTAGCCAAGTATGTTACACACATGTGTCTGGCACAGAACTGAGGCAGCCGTGTGCCAACTCACACACACACTGATGGTGGCGCTGTCCCTGCAGGGCACTGCTCTGGTCATCGGGGGCAGCTTGGGGTTCAGCGTCTTGCCCTAGGACACTTCAACATGTGAACTACAGGCACTGTGAATCGAACCACCAACCTTCTGACTGGGAGACGACCGCCCTACCCTGAGCCATGGCCGCCCCTAACTGACAGGCTGACACTAACTGCAGTGTGAACTATCAAACCTAAACCATGGATATTCTGTTGGGCTGAAGTGTTGTAGTTGATTTTGTCACTATGACGTTCATTAACCCCGTCCTCACTCACGTGTCCGTGTGCTGTGTTTGTTCGATGGACTGCTGCCGTTCTAGCCGTACAGTAGGAATTTCACTCGACAGATGGCAGGAAAGTTGGGAACTTATCGCTCTGATCTGTGTGAACGCATTAAAAACAAGGAGCAGATTTTTCTGTGGCATCTCAAAATGGTTTACACTGTTTAAGTGGTGACGTGCTTTCAAACAATATAGGTCAACAGTGACCGACAGCAGTCAGCATAATGATGGAAGGTGGTTCACTCAGCCTGTCAGCAAAGTGAACACACATGAGCACCTCTACTGCATGGTCAGGGTCAGTCCTCCAACCTAAACCACTAAACAGGTCATCTGTCCTTGCTTTCCAACATGATGTGACTTGGACAGACACCTCACCTCTGTTCAGTGTTTCCACTTCAGATATTTCAGACTCTTTTGAGCCTCAGAAAAACACTGCTCTTCTTGCTCCTTCCATTATTCATACACAATTTTTTCCAAACATTTGTAGTGCTAACACTTCAACACACACTGCTTATTTTAGACATCTTTGTGTGTGTGTATAGACTTGAACTGAACCTCTCTCCCTTTCAATGACTCCACTCCAACTAACACTTCCAGCTCAGTTTATCACTGACATCTCAGTGCTCCTAAATGCCATTTCAGCTTTGTTCAATAATTTGCTTTCAGTGACCAGGTTCATCCATTACTTCCATCTCCACAATATCTTTTCATTTTCTCCTCCATTTCTTGTTTCCCTTCTCATCTTCTACCTCTACTGTACTGGGCATCTTAAAATGTCTCAGTGGACAGCGATGGATAGAAAGAACTTTCTGCTGTCTATCCTTTGTTCCCCCCTCAGTCAGTGCCCCGGGGGGGGGCAAACAGAAATATCCTACCTGGCTCAGGCGTCTCAGAATGCGATGACGACGAGGCCGAGGACGCCCCGTCTTCGTTGACGGCTCCCTGGGACAGAGACATCCCTCGGCCCGGAGGAAGCTTCATGCCGAGCTGCTCTGCCATCTCCACGTGATCGCCAGGGTGGATGTAGTCAAACACACTGCTGCCGGTCAGCTCCACCTGCAGAAAAACACAGACATGACTGTGTGAGACTTCCTCCAGTTCCTGCAATGGTCCTCCTTCCTTTCTTCTATCGTCTATCTAGCGTCTTCTCCTCTTCAACCATGTTTCCTACCAGTTCGCCCAGTATGACTTGACCCTGGCCCATGTTTGCACTTAGGTTAAGGGGAAAGATTTTGATGAAATAGTTCAAAAGTAACTGTCCTCCCTCAGCGTTCTTTGAGTTAAAGAGAAGCACAAAAATGCTCATCATGTTTCAGTTGGCAAGAGCAAATGTTCCTTCCTGGCAGAGGGCGGGTTTGAAACAAAGAGACAAATCATGTAAACATTCGTGTGTGCACAGTGGACAGAAACCCGCCACACCCACACCTCTGAACAACCTTGTTTTACTTTTCATTTACTTCCTCGTTTTCTTATCATTCGTCTTTCATCTCAGTTAAATTTGCTTCATCTTGATCAGTTGCCACCTTCTTTACCTTATGCTCTTCATCCTACTTATTTTGTTCCTTTTGAATAATTTTTATTCCCTTTGACTCATCTCTGCTACAGTGTGTTCATCCTTTTCTGCTCCTCCTCTCCTTCTTCATCCCTTGCTTCTCTTCTGCACCTGTTACAAAACGTCTGGCCTACCCTTTCCTCTTCCTCCCTTTCTTTTGTTGCATCTTCTTCCACCTCTTCATCTTCTGCCTCCTCCTCCACACTGTTTATTTTGTCCTCCTTCTCCTCTACTTCATACTCGTCTTTCTTTTCATTATTTTCCCTGCTTCCCATTATACTTTCTCTTTTTCATTTGTCCCCCAGCTTCTTCATGCTCTTTGCCCTAGACCTCCTCCTCCACGTTTCTTTCCCTGCTCCTCTAATCCATCCTTTCATCTCCCTTGTGTTTTATACATCCTTCCTCTTCTCCACCTCCTCCTCTAACTCCTCCTCCCCTCTCCCTCATCCTCTCCTTCCAGCTTTTCCTCCTCATCTAATCCCTCCCTCTGCAACTGTGGAGAATCGGCAGCAGCTTTTCTTTCTCATGGAAATGGAATAAATAAGCTTCTTCTTATTAAATAAATACAGAGTCCCTTCACCTTAAAGACTCTCATTAGTGGTGATAGAAGCGGATTTGTCTTCGTTAATTGGGGATGAGACGAGGGAGCGTCACCAAAATCGCAGCTACACACAGTCATACTTGTGGAAGAAAACGCACACACCATACAAAAACAGATTCATGTCAAGGTTATAAATACACACAAACATAATTAGGTACACAATTTCCAAAAGCATCACGTGGTAGTCGGGTGTATTGTTTGACGGGTGTTTTCATTTGTGTACATTTATTTCCACATGTTAATCTAGTTATATATGTGTGTATGTGTGTGCATGTTTCTGGGGGTCCACTGGGACAAATGGGATTACATGGGTGTAATCCCTTTAATAAGAAATCCCTTTAAGGCAATTTAGTCCCCTCATAAAGTCTCATCTGGAGCAGAAAGTGATGATTAAGAAATGAGACTGATCAGCGACTCACACAAACACACAGACCCTGGTGCACCACCAGAGTCAGTGTGCATGTTTACATGTTACAGTGCTAATTGGATCTACACTGTTCTTGTAATAACATGCAGACTTTTAATCAATTAAAACTTGGCATAACTATTTTGCATAAAGTCACTGGTGGAGCTAATTACACAGTGGGAACAATGCAGAGAGAGACAGACAGCTGCTGAAAGAACCAGTATACAGTAGACACACGTGTAAGGCTGGAGCCAACGTGGCTGTTAATGCTCAAAGAAGTTTCACATTAACTTCACTTAGTACTTACAACTGAAAGCCTGAGTTGATGTTCAAGCACTGAAAAGACCTGAAATCAGAGGGATAATCTGAGCTGGAAGCATCAGGTCAAGTGCAATCACTCAACGCAGGCGGACTTCTTCAGAATGGGAGATGAAAGCAGTTAAATCATCAGTAAAAGATGAATGCAGCTGAAGTGTTAGTTGACATATAAGTTGTAAAAGCTGTGAAATATCTGTTTAAGTGATGTGTCGGCGAAACTGTAAGCTATGAAAGCCCTTACGCCTCACCAAGCCAAATATGGGCAGAGTTAACGTTCCTTCACAATGTTGCTGTGTGACGTCATCGTTACAGAATGCAAAGTAATAAAATACAGAATGTTGGAAAGCACAGCACTTGGCTATTTTAATGGTGTAAAACATTTTAACACACTGCTGTCACAGGACAATCTGTTACTTCTATTTTAATAGGGTACATACCACAAAACCTTTTTGTGTGGTCTGTACTTCCAGTAGCTTTAGCCTGCTAGCCTGGCAACACTTGGATGAATAAAAAAGTCCAAACATTTAGTCCAACAAGATGTAATCCTTGAGAAATATCCATAAAAGCACACTGTCTGCTTGGCGATCCTCTTACTCTCTATTAGGATTCCTAATACGAGGGCTGGTTCCGGACTGACTTGCCATTCGGACTTTGACAAGCCCTGGTCTAAACCTTACTATTATTATTACAGCAAAACCCAACAGCTCCTACCATGTGTTCATGGAGCTACAGTACAGTTTGTATGACTAAAGCTTTTGCCAATCCAGGGCCACTGCCCACAGTTAAAGCACAGCAAGGCTAAATTTAAAGTTTGGGATTTGTTTCTGAATCATTTAGCTGTCTTTGCTAACGTAGCTGAGTAAGCTAATCACGTTAATTGGCTTGTCATATGAAAGGACACAGGCTAACATCTGTCAGTGCAACCAAAGTGCAATATGTTTACTTGGCAAATAAAGTGACTGATTTAACACACACTTTGTGCCAGTGTCTGTTTTTTCACCAAAACACATGTTGCAGATGTTTGGAAACCAGAGCTTTCTAATCAGCTGGAATCCTTGGCAGCAACTACTATGCATTATGTTACCCTTCCAGCCTCTCACAGAGAGGTTGGCCAAGTGATTTAATACCAATGTAATGCTTTTCTTTCCCCAGAGTCCTTTGTCTTTGTGAGACAGCAGACAGTGGAGTGAGACCCAAACCAGGATACAGTGAGGGGAATCCAAGCCAGCTACTGGCAAATAACCAAAAGATTTTGGAAGGATAAATATGTTTTCAACTTCATGTCTGCTGGGCTTATGGGTTGTCGATTTTGAAACTGACATTATTTATGGCCATAAATGTTGACCTCTATAAGTCAGTTTAGGAAGAGAAAGAAATGAACTCATGGTGGGTGAACTATGAGACAAACCCCCACACTAAACATGGAGACAATGGGATAGATGCAAAATAATAATAATAATTATTATTATATGTTCAGGCAACATGCTCAACATGGATTTTACATATGTTATAAGTAGGGTCAGACATAATGAACTTTTCATTGACATTTTTCAGCCATGAAACTTCCCTTGTTGTTGTACTTCAGTGTTTTGATGTGGGTGTTTCGTATTTAACCTGTGTTAGTTTCATGTTGCATGTCCTGTGTTCTGCCTCAGGGGTTTTCTCTTTAACATGGGCTGAGGAGGTAACACCTCATGCTACTGAGTTCTGTTAAGAGCCAGTGCTTTTGGAGCTTGACCCATGATATGTAGGTAATAGAAGTGAGGGCGTCTCTCGCATGTTGCAACATAAAACCAATGATTTGCTGGTTTTTTAATTATTTTCTACACTGTTGGACATTTTAACAATGCATCACACAGTTAATATGCAACTCATTTGTTTGGTTTCCTCATAGAAATACTAGAAAGTACAAGTACACTATGTGGCTAAAGGTCCATGGACATGCATACAAAGACTGTGGCCACCATAACGTTACATCCGTATGTGATGGTTGAACGTGTGCCTCATGATGTGCTGCTGTAACAGCCACTCTTCTGTGTTCAGCCTTTCCACCAGATACGTGGCTGTAAGTTCTTCCACACTAAACCGGAATAAAGTCTGTCCACATACTTTTGGCTATATAGTGAACTCTCCAAAATCTCCTTTGGCAAGACGCCTTTGCTGTGCTCAGGGCCAACTATTCTAAAGAAATTAGATAGTTACACATTCAAAATTTGGTTTGAGGAAATAAAGGAATTAGAGACGTGATTAACCTTTTTGATGAAGGTATATGTATTTTTGACTTTTTTCTCAGTTACAATAAAAATAGGGGTTACTCTCGACTCAGCTGAACAGGCCGTCGAGGCGCCAGCGCCCTGAAGACGTCCGACACTCCCGTCAGCTTCAGTCTGAGTTTTGACATTGCCTGTCTGTTTAAAGTCTTCAGATAAAGCATATTAAAACAAAGCAAAGGTGCTGGCTTTATCACTTCCCTCGCCCTCTGAGACAAGGACATCAAGTGACAGAAGACAATAAGAACAGCGATGATAACCACGTCCAACAACCAGGGAGAGAGTGTGTGTTTTGTGAATTAACCACATGCTCAGCAGGTGAGGCTGTGTGAGCCAAAGGGTGCATTTATGTTTGCATCTGTCCTTCCTCTCTTATCAGTCTCTTCTCGGAGTCTGTGTGAAAGATGAAGGAGGCTGCTGTCAGGTTCTAATTACTGCAGAGTGACTGTTACATCACTGCTGCTGTTCAGCTGTGTGTAACCTTTATTTAAAACAGAACAAAGCCTGACAGAGCAGCATCAGGATCAGTGTCAGTATAGCAGCACTACTACTCCTACTGCTGCTGCTAATGCTACACCTCTTCCCATAAAATGATGATGATCAGTGCTGACAGTGTTTTCACAAAGATGCAAGGTTTCCTGCGGTATTCTGTAGTGGAGGTGTCCAACCCTGCTTCAAGCTAGTGGACGTGTTGATGATGTGCTATCATGTGACCAGCGCAGAAGGCTGCCTCAGTTCTGTACTGGACACAAACTCCTTGTGTGTGTAACATAATTCACCTATAAAAGTGATTCTCATCTGATGGTGAAGAAAAAATGGTCATTTAGAGGAAAGTAAAACTGGAAGAAAAAATGGTCATTTAGAGGAAAGATGCCAAAGAAATGAAGTAACTGGAGACACAAGGAGATT